GTTCCAAACTAGGCCATTAGTACACCCTGCAAGTCAGCTGTGGCCCATAAAACCAGCCTCTCCTCCAGGTTGGAGCAGTGTTGGATGCACAATGCTCTGTGTTGCAATAAGCTACAGCATTATGCTATCCACCAGAGGTCACTGGAGCATTGGTTTATCAGCTTTACTTTCACTGCTACCTGCAGAGCTTTCCTTTTTCAAGGGAATTAAGACACTATTTTAGACTTCGATGCAGTTTTTAGCTACTAACTCATCTACCTTTGCATCTTTGCAAGCACAGAAAAAACACACACTAAGTCAGTCATGTCCCACCTGTATTCACTTTAGTCTGTCAATACTAGTGGACAACTTCTGATCAAAGCAGAATACAGTGCATTTTAATCAATAACCAGATTTCACTTAGCATTACTACAATAGATCACAAGTCCATTTTATTCATAATAGGCACAGCTGCATTTGTTGCTTTAGCAGTCAATTATTACTGTTAAGTTGTTGGGAAGTATGATCTCAATCAGGATGGTATTGCAATCAGGAGTAGCAAGTTTCAATATTTCTCAGGCCCAACCATTTTGTATCATGCCACAGAAGGATGTGATACCTCAATCGCTACTCTACAGTTTAGTCACAGCTTCCCTGCTTTATTGGCAGCTGCAGCACAAACCAGGCCTTGGGATGTCCACATCTTGTGGATATCCAGGAGCCTGCTTTGGAAATAGCCAGGGTACTAACAGCAATGCAACAACAACAGCAGGCTGATACCAACATTTCTGAGGCCTCAGGCAAACCCTTGGCAAGGACAGATCAAAGCACGACCCTCTGAAGTACTCACAGGAATCCTGCCCATATCTGCCTCCAGTCAGGCCTTCAGAAAGAGTTTTGCTGAACAGAACTAGAGGATAGACATTAACTCCTCTCATGCTTAGTGCAGGAGCAGTTACCTTTTCAACTTAAAATGCAAAAAAACCTCTGCTCACATTTTTATTTCAATGCCAGCCAGCAATTCAGCAGAGAACTCTTTTTTGGAGTGCCATTATTGCATAGCTGTAAAAGCAATAAGGAATACAAACAGTAAAACAAAGAGCAAGAAGGCTCTGAATGGAAGTTTTCTGGGTTTTCTCCCTAAATGTGAAAGGAGAAAAACCCAAGCTCATATTGTTTACACTGAAAATGTTGGCTAGCAATATTTCATCATATACAGTTCTAAATAATATGTAAGTTTGTGTCAATTTTTAAGCTTAAAGGAAAGTGTTAACATTAAGTTTATGCCCTGCAAGGGTTAACTTCTGTGAAACTCTGGACTTTAAGTACCAGTACAACTATAAATTCACAGATGAATGTATCATGGTCAGCAAGGATATAAACACCAGCTCTGCAACATTATCTAGTTTTTAGTTTAAGGGTGTAGCTTCCCCCAACTGCTTCCTTTCTTTTCTCTAAGAAGGCATTAAAAAAAAAAAAAAAAAAAGAAAAGTAGTGTTTATTTAAGAAAGATTCAGTTCTCCTAAATGCACTTAAATCAAAGACTACTGAAGTAACTTAAGATAACAGTATTTTTATATCCAGTATGATAATGTTGAGTCCCACTCCAGCTCTTTTTGTTTCAGTAATGGCAAAGTGGCCTTTGCTACAAGAAAGCTATTGCCCATTTTGACAAATAACACTTACTAATGAAGACATAGCTGCTTAAGCTTGACCAAGGAGTCAAGTATGTGGTTCTCCTAACAAAACAGTCAAAGGCAGTACCAGTAATTGCTCACCAGAGCTGTCCTAGACTTAACAGGCACAACATTTAACAGTTCTTTGGTGTTTAACACTGTTCATTGTTCAGCAAAACACTTTGGCCATGTTTTGGGTTTTATTGGCCTGAACTGATTTTCAACACAGGCTGAAAAGGGAGGGGCTCCCCAGCTTTAAAATAAATGGATTACTGGATGCCTACATCAGCTGAATCCTTGCCTTGTCACTGCTGACTTCAGATGTTTTATCATCATATGGATATCCAGGTTCAACTCCCTTTTTCAAAGGAAATATTAAATAAATACAACTAAATTAGTTATTCCTTTCTCTGTAAAAGCCCAACGTCATCAACTATTTTCTCAATACACCCATTTCTGATTGTAAAAGGTGCCAAGAACAACCAATGCTTTCAGGAAAAGACATTCCATCACGCATCAAACTGGTGGCAGCCATTGCACTGCTCCACTGCAATACGCAAAGATGCACAAAAGGTATTATCTCCCTTTTTCCCCAGAACATCTACTAACATTTAAGCCAGGAAATACAACAGCTAGAAGCTGCAAGGTGTTGCAGCATAACAAGTGATACCAATTATATGCTTTAACCAACATTGAAAGAATTCATTCCAGCTATACAGTGATTAGATGTTAGCTGTTCCATCTCGGTGTATTTGCAGAATGCAACCTTACCCCAAAAGATACTTAATTCTGGCTCAAAGTCTTTGGATGCAGCAACTTTGAAATACCTTTGAACAAAGTTTGAGTAGGAAAAGTTAACGTGGACATAAAGCTTGCTTTTAAACTGCCTAGATGAGCTTACCTTTAACATACTGATCCCATTGTTTTCTGAAATCTAAATCCATATAGACATCTGCACACAGTTTTGGGGGACAGTCAGCAAGACCACCGAAGATTTTATACTCATAAAGTCCTGATTGCTGTGGAAACAGAATGGAGAGAGGAAAAGTCACACAGGAAAGGGAAGTACTCTGCAGCAGGGAGAACAGCTGAAGGAAATTAGGTGGGGCACATACAACAAATTTGCTCAAGAGCTGTGAAAGCAAGTGTTCAAAAAACAATGCAAGATTCAGTCTTTAACCTCTCGACTTTTTGATCTATACATGAAAGTTTAAATCCAGACAGGCTGACCTGCCCTGCACAATGGCTGTTCCTTCCCTTACACCAGTACCCTTTTACTTCATAAGCAGTTCCAAAGGGAGCATGTTTCTTCACACACACACCCCTTTTCATCCCCAGTGGTCAGTGCAGACTAAATCCTGCCGCACTGAAGCTTACCAGAAGCATTAAATTGTTGTGGCAAGGTCTCCAGACCCTACACAATGTGTTTAACAGTCTCAGCCATTTCCAGGAGGTTACCAGGTACTGCAGGATCTGGAATAAGCTTTCCAGCAAGTCAGGTATGCTTCTCCTTCAGGCTGCGATACAAGAATGCTTTCTAGTGTTCATGCTTACATACAATGCACTATTATATCTGCCTTGAATATTTATCAGCTATTTTCTTTCCAAAAGCTGTCTGCACTGAAGGGGTGGGGTGCAGGATATCTCTTATGTTAATGCTTTTAATGTTTCTTTCAACATACGGAAACTCCATCTGTGCCTACAGAGCAATGTTTGTTCTATTGGTAGTACCAGTTCAGGACTAAATTAAAACAATAAGAGTATTTTGAATATATAGTCAAATTCAAGAATTCCCAAGGAAAGGGAGGGAAGGATTATACACCATTCTGCTAGTGAATGGCTGATTTGTCTTCCCCTCCCCTTCACAAATCAACCGTAGAGGATGAAGATTTGATAATAATGGGACCAAGAAGCTTAAGCTACTCATCTTCACTGTGGCTTCCTGGAAGCATCAATCCCTAGCTTGAAACCTGAACTGTTCAGCACCTGTGCAGCCCCATGCACTCATGTCATCTTTGTAAAAGGCAACAACATTTTTATTTTCACAAGAAAAACTAATTTTGAAAACATGACACTTGAAATTGAGCTGAGACCCAACAGCATATGCCAAAACACTACACTGGTACTTCAAAAATAGTTGATTTAACTTGAATGCTATTTCATTCCAGGTCACTAGTAAAAATTCTATGTAGATTATCTTGCATGTGTGTATGCTTACATTAAGTGTCACATAAGTCAGGAGAAGAACAAACCACAACTCTCCTCACTCTTCTAGTAATTTAGAAGAAAGCCTTACTTCCTCGTGTTATTGGGCTGCTCCACCACCGAAGATCAGAAGTCTTTGTATTCTTTTCCTGGATTTTGATTACAACTGCATCTTGAGAGGTAACAAACCAAGCTCACCCAAAACTTTAATTCTGCAGTCAATACACAAAACTGGCTGTTTATCAGCACACTCACCGTTTCTTTGCATCCTTTAACTTCCTCTTAATCTGTTTGACAGAAGAAAGCCATGCAGTAATTTTCTCATTTAAGCTATCAGAGCTTGCCTCAAAGATTTTGCATGGAATTGTGTGCTTTGTACCTTAGTGAGGACAAACTACACAGTTTCACACTTCCAAACACAGTAAAAACTTTAGGACCACAAACTATTACACTGTATTGCTTGTTTCTAAAGCTTGTACGTTTCACCAAATAGGCAACTAGAAGTTCCTGCAGTACTTTTTAATTGAGGATTATAAAAAGATATGCATACAATATAGGTCTTTAAAGCATTTTTGCTATAGATAGAACCTCCATCAAAAGTTAAAATAGAACTGTAGTGATGTCATTTACTGTCACATAATTCAGATGCACTAAATACAGAGTGCAAGTGCTGCACTACCTAATCTCCTGACTTAACAGATGGGATTCTACCTAAACATTCAAAGGTAGGCTCCAGTTAAAGGTAGGCTCTCAGCTGGTTCACACTATCAGTTCAGTCATTCTTACATCTATAACCTTCAAGCTCTTGTACTGCAGCTCAAGACAGATCAAGATATTATGCTGTTCTTCTCTACCAATCTATTTCTTCAACTGCTAGATAAATCACAGCATACATCATTAAATATCTTCTACTAAAAAAGGTCGTATTTTGGTAACAGTATGAAATAATAAATCATGACTTGAAAAGCAAACAGGACATCTTGCAGGAGGCAAGATGGAAAAAGACATTCAATAAAACCAGCAATTCACAATAAGAAAGTTAAAACAAGAAGGAAATGTTTCAGGTTTTCAGATGCCTATCAGCAGGAGAGTCAATCAGCGGGTTGGAATAGAGCACAGAGCAGGAAAGCCTGGGAGATCTATTTGTGTAGCCTGTGGAGAAGGTGGAAAGAGAAGGCAACAGGAAATATAATTGCTGCCTTCAGCTTCCTGGACTACCACTGCTATAGTGGACTTGCAGTTCAATAAGTGTTAGAAGCCAATTTTCCCAGTAACAACTTTAAGCAAAGACCCTTCTACTAGACTTGGTTCTTCTTCTCATGTGGCAATTTGAAGCAACCGAAAGACAAACCAAGAGACGTATTTCCCAGCAGAATTAGAAGCCTGGATTTGAAAAGGTCTCTTGCATCCTACCTAATCTGTCCATCTACCCTAAATTAGGGTCATTGTATAAGATGCAAAAAACAAACAAAAAAAGACATCTTGATGTTTTTCAGTCAGCTCAATAGTCCTATATAAAAGCATGAGAAGAAGAAGCCTGAGCTACTTTCCATCTAGCCAGCTTCAATTTCTACAAGAGCAGCAAAGCCACAGCAACACAGGCTGCCCCAGTACAAGTCTCATGGGCACCTGGTCCCATTGGTTTAGCAAATTCAGCCTCTGTCTTCCCGAAGTTACTTTGCCTTTGTTCACTGTGCAATGCATTGACAGGTCTGGGATGAGCTCCAGTCCTAACATTTCTCTTTCATCCACTCCAGAAGCAACAGTCCTAGTACCCTCCGTTTCATCAGCACATCTGATTCCTGCGTAGATATCTGGCAGACACCACAGGCTCGCCTTTGCTGCGTGCTCTCATTGATAAGCTTGTGCTGCCATTGCCAGTTACCACGCCCAGGCTGTAAGCAGGGACAGACTATTTACCACCAAAAAAACTCTGAGCTGTATGAAGTGCCTTTTTTTGTTTGTTTGTTTGAAAAGACTTTCCCTACCTTGTCTTGCCTTTCACACAGACCTATGTGTTTGCTTCATTTGCTATTTTTTTTCCTAACATGACCATGCCCAAAATGATTTTTTCAGAATACAAGATTTTCATGCAAAGCACAGCATGAAGTCCAGCTTTATAAGGAGTTGAGAGGTGGCTATGATCACAGACCTAAAGAAATAGGATATTTATATGGACTCAAAAGTCATTATTAAATCATAAATCTGCATCAGAATGGAAACACTATGTTAATCATAAGTCAGTTCTGGAAGCCTAAACTTTTGAACTTCTTAAGAGAAGTAAGTCCTTCCAAAAAAGGGGGGAATTGCATTCCAACCCTTTCTGAACTACCTCCTAACTTTAGGGGGAGAAAGGTAGAAAATCTGTTGGAAAGAAGCTTTGGAGAGAGCGAGAAAGAAGGGGAGCAGGAGTCTGCAGATCAGGAGGATGCTCTAATGTGGTAAGTGCTCAGGGCCAGTGTGCAGGGACAGGTCTCTCCCTCACACACATCCCTCACAGGGGGCTTGGAAGAGGAGTGGAACCCGCAGAGCAAACACCCCGTTAGACCCATGACTGCTCCTGTCACCGAGAGCACTTTCCACGAGGAATTTCTCCAGCCACCACCTGCTAACAAGCTTTAAAAGCCACACAGTTCGCGGGTTCCCCTAGCAGTTTGTAAGAGCGGTGTTTACTGCAGCAGAGCAGCTTTCTCCATCAGCAGTTAATAGCATTACCCTAAAAGCCGCTTTCTGGGAGCCTGGAGAAACTGATCCGAGGCCGATAGCGCCTGGACGGGCAACGGTCCTCAGCCTGACCCGTGCGGGGAACCGGCGGCTCCGGACGTGCCG